ATTTGAGGATACCAGTTTGGCATTATAGCAACCACAAATGTCGTCTCATTAGCATAGCTCCGGAGTCGAGACACTATGCAGAATGAGAGTTACCAGAAAAAGAAAAGAATCAGAATGGATGTTTACTTACCAGGATGTTGAGTTTTCCTCCAAATTCAGAGGAGACAGTGTTTATTAGCTTCTCTCTTTGGGCCTGCGATGATACATCACAGACCGAACCAGTAACCTGGAAACCCTTCGCTTCCCAGTCAAGTAAGCATTTGTTGAGGTCAGCTTCAGTCCGGGAGCATGTGTGTATTCGTGCTCTCAGTCCAGCTAATTCCTCTATGATAGCATACCTGGTTGCAGTATTAATTTATGATGAGTAAAATATTAGCTCCGTTTTGGGATAATCCAGGCAAAAGTAAATTAATCTCTTCACATCAGCATGTTAATTGTAATATAAGCCTTTAACAATTCCCCTAGAATCCCATAAAATGAAATCAAAATCGTCTTGGTGAACCGACCATCACAGTCACTTTTAGGAACACAAAAATCTAATTCATGTTTTCCTTGATTTACAAAATATTTTATCGTATATAATGATCTCATCACCAAAACAGATCACTTCATCACTTCATACCAAGCGCCCCTAGTTAAAAAGTCACGTCTAATTAATACGTATAAACAACATAGCAAAATTTTTTATTTTATTTTATCTTTTTTAACAGAACCTGTCTCCAGATTTTATTAACTTACTCAACCCACATCTTTATCGCATTCATAATTGTATGGTTCTGTGTATACATAAAAAGTTTTGTCATTGTCAATAAACATATAACTAATTTTTAAGTTATTGTACCTAAGTGAATAGTCAATGAGGGAAGTAAAGGAGAAGACAATGTCAATGGCCTGATATATATGAACCGTCACCCAGTTTCGAGTATATAATATATTGAAAGGTAAAGCAGCAAGAAAAGAGGTGTAGTATCAAATTTGCAAGAGCAGGTGGTAAAAAGAAAGAGAGGGAGAAGAGAGAGAGAACCCGATTCCTTTGGTTCCACCAGTAACAAGTGCAGTCATGCCTTGAAGACTCCATCTGTTGTCCTTCCTAGAGTTATCTGCTTGAGCCATTCTTACTTCTCTCTCTATGCCGGCTTGTAGTTGAGATATATTAAGCATATATAGACAGTTCCTCCCACGTAGGTCATTGCTGACAAAAGATTCAATAGGAAATTAAATGGGGGAAATGACAGCAGTTGAGTAGTTGTTTCCATAATGCACTCACGATGAGTTGCAAAATGTTCACTCTCAAGCCAATTCTAGTTGAATTCTTTCTTATCCTAGATAACAACAAGGGCTTATTGTGAACAAAGAAAGATGAAGGTGTTGAGATCCCATTTTTGCTTGCTAATTCTATATACTAAACGGCTACGTTAAACCTAGCTTTTAATTATCTAGAGTTAACAAAATACTAGAGAGTAACTCTAAATTAAGAAGTCCATGATCCATATATATAGGGCATTACTAATTACTCAACAATTAGGTAATTAGTTGATTTTTTTTCTAAGTAAAATTAAAAGGAAAGGGAGTAGAATAATTAATCCATTGTTAAGTCAAGTTTTCGTAGTTTAAGTAAATGTTCAACAATATATATATATATATATATATATATATATCATATAGGAAAGTTGTTAATTCAGTGCACTTAATCTATGATTACACTAATCATATAGGTTAATAATTTCTCGTACCTCAAAAATTTATCCTCCCAATGAGGTCATGTATTGCTTTGTCAACTTGCTAAAGCCTGTCCATTCTTATCTCCTCCTCCACAACTCTATTTATTCTTTGATGAATCACCTGTTGAAACTGCCTCTAGACTTAGCTGTTTTTCAGCGATTTAATATTATATCTGTATGTCAGAGCACCAACTTCAAAAACTATAGATAATGAATATCATATATACCCTTCACAATGTATTGAATTAATTTTTTTTATCAATCAATCTATCTGTATATTCTTATTAACATTGAATTCTTCTAAAATAAATTATTCACAACAAATTTAAATTTTAGTTATACAAAAAATTTAGAATTTTTCTGTCATTGCTTCATTCAAAAATTTACTTAAAAGATTTTGCATGGCTGATGAGTTTTAATAGCAATATCTACGTTCAATTAAGGACACATAACTGACTTTTTCCATGTATGGATGGTTAGCACATGAAGTTAGGGTATGAACCCATTTTGTATATTTGTACATTTTATTTTTTATTTAATTTGTTTCTATTAAATTCATATTATATCTTGATGCATATAATTTGAGTTAAGAGTTATAGGAAATAACATATAATTTAATACAATAAGGAAACACATTATTTAGAAAGTCATATAATGAATGAGGATTTATATCAATGGTAGAATATTTATATTATTAAATAATTAAATGACCAATCAAATGATAATAATATATATTTTCTATTGGATAAAAAAATTATTTAATTTTAGCATTTTTCATAAAATTTATATCCTTTTTTTAGTAAAATGCACCAATCATCAGTATTTTTTTATAATATTTTATTTCATATACCATGTTAAAACACTCAATCTTTGGATCTACAATTTTTTTTAAAAAAATAATTCCAAATGCATTTATTTTCAATAATCATTAAAAATTAAAAATTAACGAAATATATCACCTCAGCAACTTGTGAACTTCCAAAATATCAAATAAGTACACCGAACTTTGTTCACGAGAAGAGGCCCGTATACTGGCATTGCATGTGACCAAGAAGGTGCAATAGGGTCCACAATGCATCTAAGAAAGTAAAGTGGGTCCTAATATGAGTTGTATGTATGTATGTATGTATGCAATTTTAACAATTTTAACACATCATGAGGTACATGGGGCAATAGTTACAGAGAGAATTATTTCTAAAATGTGTAGTCTATTCACCGGGATATTCATGGCTTTTTCGGAAGATGGAAAGAGTTGATAATCGTTTTATGGTGCAATTATTTAAAGTAACATTTGATTAGGATATTGTACTATTTAATGAATACACCATTGTCAACAAAATTCCAAGCTCTCTTTTTGTTGGCCTATGTATGTCCTACTTCCACATAATGCTATTGGCTAAATGATGTATTATGTGGATTTTGGGAGCCTACCCTTTCTAAAACATTACTTCACTAGTATTAACTAATTTTCACTTGATGTCTTATTTCTCTCTGGATTTATTCATCCAATGTACACATAGGCCTTTTAATTCTTGAAGATTAATCTATATCATGGCATTATCGACTACAGATGGCAACAATATATATGCATGTATATAGTAGAAGAGTAGTTATAGCCAAAACGAAAGAAGCAGCAGCTTTTGTTTCATTTTTGGTAGGCAACAGAAAGGAAATCCAAATTCAAACAAGGGTAGCAGTTCAGAATGTTTTTTAATTGACCAGCTACATACTCAGACTGGCAGATTAAGAGGGAAAAGAAAGAGAAAGACAAGCAACAACTAGGAAGCTGTAGCTGAGGTGCCAAATGCATCATTTCTTGTTTTGTTTTTTGGGCAAAGCCTTATGCAGCATTCCGAGATTGGGAATTAGCCTGGATGTTCTTCCCGAGTAAGGTTTCATGGTAGAAGAAGCCATTCACTGACATGCCCCCATCGATGCAAAACGTCTGCCCAGTTATATAAGAGGATGCTGGTAG